CCTTTCTCGGGTCCGGGTGGTGTGTTGTGAAGCAGCTCCAAATCTGCTCGTTGGTGGGGCAAGATACGTTCGTTAGCTTCAGAATATGGACTTGGACGAGAGATCTTACCTTTTTTGGAGGTTTCCATGTCGTTTGGTGGCTCTAGCCCGGGTGTCTTTGAATTATCGGCTAAACCTTGCATGGTCTCGGCAATCTCGTTATCCGCTTGGGCAAACTTGTTTCTGTCTCGTCCGTTAGATTCAGCTGGTGGTTTTGGTCGAGCGAGATCAGCTTCAGTACGACAAATTCCGTCGCTAAATTGGTCTGGCCGAGGTGGTACTGTTTTCTCGGCTAAAATCTCTCGCGTCTCGGCCAAAGTTTCTCGCGTATCGGCTATTTTTGAGTCATCCCTAAGTTTTTCAAGTTTTAAGCCTGAAAATGAAATTCTGCTCGGACTGTTAGAATTTAAATCAAAAACTGGTCGAGAGATAACCATTTTGGCCTGAGAGACTCGGTCGTCTGATGGGTCATTCCTGAATCCCAAGTATTCGGCCCCAGTTTGGCCGCAAAGCTCGTTTAAGTCGTATATGACATTCAGATCGGGCAACAACGGGTCGTCTGATTCTAGCGAGTTGATAAAAGTGTGTAAGGCCCTCTTGTATCTATTTCTGAGTTGTTTAATCTTAGAGCATGTCATGGCCCCGTCTTGGACTGATGGCATTAGCTCCGGTAAGGTCTTAGGGTCGATATCCACATCAGTTGCAGTGAATTCTGAATGGCTTGCTAATTATCCTGCCTTGGAGGCTGAATTCCTCGGTTTATATGGGTCTGATCATCGTCCTATTATCAGAATAGTTATTGTTTCCAACAACAGATGTCGGCGTTTCTACTTTGACAAAAGACTGATGCAAAATAGTGACTTTCGTAACTATGTGGAAAAGGGATGGAACTCACCAAATCTTTCACGGGGCTGCTCTATTACTGATCAGATTCGTGAATGCAGAAAATCTTTGGCCTTGTCTCGCAGAATTACTAAGCCTAACTCAGCTAAGAAGATTGAATCTCTCCAAAAAGAGCTGGAGTCGGCTCTTAAAAGTTCAGGTTCTGCTCGTTCTGTTATTCCGCATATTCAGAGAGAATTAGCTTCTGCATACAGGGAAGAGGAAACTTATTGGAAGTTAAAAAGCAGAAATACATGGCTTCAGGTTAGAGATCGCAACACCAAATTTTACCATGCCTGTGCAAAAGCACGTTATGCAAGGAACATAATCCATTCCATACAAGATGAGTTTGGTCGGGTATTCAGAGGTGATAAAGAGATTGGTACACATGCTGAAAGCTTTTTCAAGAAAATATATTCTAGCAATGAAAATTCAGTCTCTGAAGGCATCTTTCACGGGTTTCAATCGACTGTCACTGATGATATTAATGAAGGCTTAACAAGAGAATTTTCGGAGGAGGAAATTATGCAGCGGTATGTTCGATTGGAGCAGATAAAAGGCCAGGCCCTAATGGCTTCACAGCAAGGTTCTACCAATAATGCTGGGATATTGTGGGAACAGACATAATAAAGGAGGTCCGGCGTTTTTTTGCTACAAGTGTGATGAGACCTGGTGTGAATCATACCAATATTTGTATGATTCCGAAGATTACCAAACCGGTAACACTGTCTGATTATCGGCCTATAGGTTTGTGCAACGTTGTTTACAAAATTATTTCAAAGCTTCTGATCCTTCGGCTTAAGAAGTATTAAAACAAGATTGTCTCTGAGGAACAAGCGGCGTTTATTCCTGGCCGTATGGTCTCTGATAATGTTCTTGTGGCCAATGAGTTAATGCATTCTCTGAAAGCACGAAGGAGGGTTTCCAAAACTTATATGGCAGTTAAAACTGGCATAAGTAAAGATTATGACAGAGTGGAGTGGAATTTTTTGGAAAGAACAATGAGAGCATTTGGCTTTTGCAAAACCTGGATCCGGTGGATAATGGAGACGGTCAGATCGATGAGTTTTTCAATATTGATTAATGGAGATCCCAAAGGAACGATCAACCCAGAAAGGGGATTGTGATAAGGAGATCCATTATCTCTGTATTTATTCATACTATTTGCCGATGTTCTAAGTCATTTGATCAAATCCAGTATTAATCAAAGCAGGATTCGAGGCATCAAAATTGGAAATGAGGTTCCTCCAATCACTCATTTACTTTTTGCAGATGACTCCCTCTTTTTCTGTCAGGCAAATCACAGGAATTGTCGAGCCTTGCGTGGAATTTTTGATGAGTACGAAAGGAGCTCGGGAGAGATGATAAACTTTTTAAAGTCTTTGATAACGTTTAGCTCTCGTATTCCAGGAGACTTACAGAACCGTTTGAAGACAATATTGAGAATATAAAATCATGGAGGAGGAGGCAAATATTTAGGCCTTACAGAACAATTTGGCAGAAAGAATTTGGTGATGTTTTAATTCATTGTTGATGCCGTGAAGAAACGTACTTCTTCTTGGAGCTCAAAATTACTCTCTCCGGCTGGAAAAGAAGTCCTGCTAAAGTATGTTGCTGTATCTATGCCGGTATACTCAATGACATGTTTTAAAATTCCATCGGGGTTGTTCAAGAGATCACTAGTCAATTGTCTCGTTTCTGGTGGGAGAAGACTCAAGACAAACGTGGAATCTCTTGGTAGCGTGGAAAAAACTACAACTTTCAAAGAAAGAGGGCAGTTTGGGGTTCAGAGATTTAGAGAAATTTAACGATGCAATGTTGGCCAAACAAGTGTGGCGACTCTTGAAGCATCTGGATACTCTCTTTGCACGTCTGTTTAAGGCGAAATACTTTAGAGATGGATCTGTTTTGGAAGCAAAATCACAAAGAAATCAGTCTTTTGGGTGGTCATCAATTTTAGTTGGTCTGGAACTCATCAAAAAAGGAATACATGTAAATGTTGGCTCGGGAAAAAAGATAAGAGTTTTTCAGGATAACTGGATTCCTCCTGATCCTCCAAGACCAGCTTTGGGAAACGCCTCTGATCAAATGGTGGTAAGTGATCTTATCATCCATTCTACCTCTTTTAGACAATGGGACAATACACGCTTACAGATATCAGAGGAAGAAGATAGACATCTTGTTCAGTCTATCTTCATTTCGCAAGAAGAAGAGGAAGATCAAGTTTTATGGCACTATAATAAGGATCGTGAATACTTGGTGAAATCTGGATATCTTTTGGCAAGAAAACTTGCAGATCCTGGAAATGTGAATTTGGAACCTCCGTATGGTGATCCTCATCTTAAGGACAAAATCTGGAAATTAAATATTTTCCCCAAATTAAAGCATTTCCTATGGCGGGTGGTTTCTAAAGCGCTTGGGACTTCAACTCGGTTAGTATCACGTGGTATCCAGATAGATCCAACTTGTCATCGGTGTGGCTTAGCTGAGGAAACTATCAACCATATGCTCTTTGAATGTCTGGTGTCTCATATGGTTTGGCGTTTAGCCAATTTATCAGTACCGTGCTTGCTGAGCCCTTCTCAGGATTGTGAGGAAAACATCAACACATTGGTGGATCTTCAAACTCTTTCTGGTCTCAATCTCACTCAGAGATTACTTCCCTTTTGGTTGATGTGGAGAATCTGGAAATCCAGGAATAATCTCATCTTTGCCAAACAAATACCAAGTGTTTCACGAGATGTAACAACTGCGTTGGTGGAGGTTAAAGAATGGATCGATGCAACAACAGGGGACAACACACGATCAACCTCTTCCTCACATGGAAATAGTAATGACCAGCAACAACTGTCTACCTAGACCAGACCAGACACGGGTATGTATAAGTGTAGTTACGATGCAGCTTATAATCTCTTTACGAGACTTTCTTCTGGAGGTTGGATTGTTCGAGATGCATTTGGCAGTCCGAAATAATGGGGTTCAATCTTTCTGGGTGTATCTTCATCACCTTTGGAGGCGGAAGGAAAACAGCAATTCAAAATACCTTTATGATGGGTTTTAGAGATGTCATCTTCGAAGGAGATAGCTTCAACTTAACTCAGAATGTTAATGGCAACAACAAATATTTTTCTATACGTAACATATGTAAGGAAATCTCCTGATGGGCTACAAAATTCAACAATATCTCCTTCCACCAGGTGCCAAGACATTGCAACGAGCCAGCTGATTATTTAGCAAAACAGACTACACAAATCACTCCTTTCGTTTCTCACTGTATTTACTCTTCTGTATAAAGATTATGTATGCTCAATTATTTGATTAATATAAGTCAGTTGTTTCGTCGAAAAGAAAAAAATTATAGATATTTCACTCTGTACGGATTACTATCTAATAATTTCTTTTAAAATATAATATGCTATAGCTAAATAAGGCTCTTAATTTTGAGTTAGTCAATCAATATATAATTTTTTTTGTTATCTATGTTAATTTTCTCATAAATATATGATAAATTTAGGGGTGGACACTTTAGTTTATTTTCGAGTTCGGTTTGAGTTCAGTTCGATTTGGTTAATTCGGATTCAATAAAATTCTAACTAAATTTAACTGAAATAAGTTTAGTTCGGTTTGAATTTAGTTTGGTTTAATTCGATTTGATTTTAGTTCGATTTGGTTTTAATTCAATTTAAAACAATTATTTTAAAGAAAAAAAATAGTATATTGGTTTAGGTAAAATTTCAAATTTTTCATATTTCAAAAAATTAATATTATAAATTAACTAAAAAACTAAAATAAAATAAATATAATAGTTTATTAGTTTTGTTCGGTTTAAAACCAAACTGAACCGAACTGTTTGGGTTGTAAAAAACTTCAACCAAATAGATTATATGTTGAAAATTGGTCGGATTCATGATTTAAATTTGATTGGTTCGGTTAGTTCGGTTCAGTTCGGTTTTTTTGCCCACTCCTATATGATATTACGAAAATAAATTTTTTCGAAGTAAATAACTCAAAAATAAAAGTTTCTAGTAATGTTAAAAAGATATATATCCAACAGGAGGATACAAAGGGGAAGCGTTTCAGGAATATAGCAAAGGAAAAATCGGTTCGCGGCTAAATCAATCGCTTCTGCTTGGTACGTTCTCATTCCGATCTTCCATCGTCAGTCTGCTTCGATCTTCAATGTTCAATCTGGATTTTTCTACAGTCTCTTATCAATTTGATTGTTGAGGTTCGATTGTTTCTTAAGAGAGAGTTTGTTACCTCGAATTTCGATTCCTCTCGGTTTCTTCTCCTCTTCCCATGATTCTTGTTAGTCCTTGATCTGATTCCGAAATGCTCAGTTTCTCCATAATTTTTGATCTATGTTTCTCCGTCTTCTTCTGTGTGTGATCCCGAATCTAGCCGAGACCCTAGAGGAAGTGCGATCTCCTCTGTAATCTCTGAGCTCTGACTTATCCATTCTGATCTCGTCGTTCGCAGTTCTTTGCAATGGTGGTCTGCAAATGCAGAAAGGTATGATTATTGATCCATTTGATGACCTTTGGGAGGCTTTCCTTGTAAAATTAGAGTGTTGAGAATTTCTGATCTTGCATCTGAGTTTTGAGTTAAAATTTGAAATGAATTTCGATTTGCTTGCATGTGATCTGGTTTTGTATTCTTGTTTCCAGCTCTGTAATTTGTTGGAGAAATCATGAAACTATTTGGTTGTTTGTAGTTTTTGTTCTTGCAGAGCTCGTCAAGTGAATGCTAATGTTATTCAATTCTCTTGGTTTTTTTTCAGGCTACTAAGCTGTATTGCTTTGTTCACAAGGTCCCTGTTTGCGGGGAATGCATTTGCTTCCCGGAGCATCAAACTTGTGTGGTATGTTGATCAAAGTTATATGCTTGTTGTTTCCGTGTGGTGATAGTTTTCTAGAGGAATTAGTATCTTGTTGTTTGGAATGTGGTGTCCCTGTAGATATAGCGAAATTGTATGGAAATATTGTGGCTTCTGGGAACAGAAGCATTTGGCTTAGCTTTTGATTGTTATCTTCGTGCATTTTAAAGGATAATGTGGATATACGGTGCCCAAGTGGTAATATAATTGACACCTTTAATAACTCAGTGATACGAAGGGTAAAAGATCTGTCTCTGATTATGTCAATGGAGCTGTTCCATATGGTGTTTATTTTCTTTAGTTAGACACTTACTGATGTTAATTTCCCACTGGTCGATCATAACAGACGCAAGATAAAAATTAGTGGCAACATCTAGTTTGAGCAGCCGTCTAGTTTGAGCCGTTTTTCTCCATCTTTAGTTGAACAATATTTAGAACTTTTTGCTGTCTTCTTTTTCCTGCTTCATGGTTAACATGGAAGAACAATGCTGAAAGATGTTTCTATCATGTTCTAATGAATAGGTCCGGACTTATTCAGAATGGGTGATAGATGGAGAGTATGACCAGCCAAAGTGTTGTCAATGCCAAGTAACATTTGATGGGGGGGCAGGTCATCAAGTCACTCGGTTGGGTTGCTTGCGTATGTTTTTATCTGACTCTTACCGTTGTTGAATTGGATTTTTACTTCTGAACTTTGACACCTAAATAATTGGAACCATGTTTGCACTCTATTTGTATCAGATGCTATACATACAAGTTGCTTGGTCTCGCATATCAAGAGTTTTCCTCCTCATACTGCACCTGCTGGTTATGTGTGCCCATCATGTAGCACCCCTGTAAGGCCTGTTGATTGATATTAATATAGTAGAAAAGGTTCTGTTGTGTTATTTGTGTTTCTATTGCAGTGTAGATAATTTTGCGGTTTAGTTAACTTCTCAAGTCAATAGCAACCCCTGTTTATATTGTAGCAGATGAAAGCTAAGCAATCAAGATTACACCTTCTATTGCAGTTAAATCTTGGAGAAGTATTTAACACTAGAGTATTTGATGATAGATTATTGATGCTCTCTTGAGTCTTTCTATTAAACTTTGGATGACTTTTTGGCTGCTTTCAATGTTCTGGTGAGTAATACAACACTCGATAATTTAACATACTGGAGGCATATAGGTTATTTTTGATTCCTAAGACTAAGTTAATTGCCATCCCGATTGTAAGCCATTCCTTTCATTGCTTTTTAATTTAGTTGTATATATTCTTTTTTAGTCTGGTTTTATCATGTATCTTGCTTTAAATGTTGTTTTGTTCTTGGGAGAGTTCCATATTATAGCTCTCATATAGTCTTCAAATGCAGATATGGCCTCCCAAGATGGTAAAAGATGCAGGATCTCGGCTTCATGCACAGTTAAGGGAAGTGATTATGCAGGTAGTTGTAACTGTTAGTTCAGTTGCTGTTGCAGATTATCCAACTATTTTTTTTCTTGAAACAAATTAAAAATCTCAAAAGTATTACCTTATAACTTTACGTGTTGCCCTTACTTTATACATCTCTCAATGAGAGCATATGATATTTCCATTGATGTGGCAATATCGTTATGTCACACTGTTTGTGTTGACTAGTGAAAGTATTACTGATTTACTGGTTTAGTTGGATTTTAATTTTCTATTATCTATATGGCAGACTGGTCTTGAGAAGAATCTATTTGGGAACCATCCAGTTTCTCGATCCACCGAATCTCGTAGCCCACCCCCTGCATTTGGTTCAGATCCATTAATTAATTTATCATCATCTTCTCATACACAAGAAGGGAAGAACCTTCCTGATGGTTATTCAGTATCTGGAAATGGAGATTACTCCAAACCTGCGGTTTCGGAGATAGTTGAGATAGATGTTCCTGCTTCAGCTGGAAATTACATGAAAAACTCAAGCCCTGGAGTAAGAGATTCTTCTCAAAGCTAAATGTAGTTTCATTTTTCCCTCTATGGTTTTCTCAAAATTGTTCGAACTATCAATAATGTTGTATATAGCTTGCTGCTGCTGCTGCACGGAAAGGTGTACCAGCTGTGGACAGGCAGAACTCCGAGACTTTATATTATGCAGACGACGAAGACGGGAATAAGAAAAAGTACTCAAGAAGAGGTAGGAGAAAAAACCTTGTCTTTCTTTCCTCATTTTTCTTTTAGATCCATTTTTTTTGTATGAATCAATAGCATTGTGGCAATGACCGAGATTAAATAAGTCGTTTTTTTTCATGTAAGGTCCCCTTCGTCACAAGTTTCTCCGGGCTTTACTACCATTCTGGTCAAGTGCATTACCAACTCTACCCGTTACCGCACCACCTCGTAAGGATGCAACAAAGGGAGATGATGGTTCAGAAGGACGTGTAAGACATCGATCATCAAGGATGGATATAAGGAAAATACTCCTTTTCATAGCGATCATGTGAGGCCTGTACTGTTTTTTTGTCAACGTTTTTCATTCAAATTAGTATATTATCAACTATGGGATAATTGTTAAGTCTGTTTTAAACCGATGTGTGCAGAGCTTGTATGGCGACAATGGGGATTTTATACTACAGACTCGCACAACGGGTAATTGGTCAAGAAATACCCGATGAAGAGCAGCAGCGATGAGGTAATATCGTATCAGACAGGGGAGATAAGACTGGCTCAACATATATCATATTTATATATTCCGGGTTTTGTCCAAATCAATTTGCCCTGTTCTAGATCCTTTTGGGACGTTTAGAAAATGTTTCTTACAAGTTGATTTCGAGAATTGTTGGCTGCGGTTCTTTGCGACGGTGTTTTGTTGCGGGTTTAAAGTATATTGATTGTCATCTTTTTCTGTTTTTGTTTCATTTGACATGTTTTAGTATGTAGCTATTGGCTTTCGGTATAGACGAAAATGCATTTTATGGACGCTTTTAGCAGTTTCTTTTTTTGTTCAACATTTCGTGGACTCTAGAGTTGTTATCTCGTAGAATCGTCATCATTGTGGCCTCTGTATTAGAGTTAGAATCTACGTTTTTGCAGCCTTGAATGATATATAGTTTTAAAATTTTTATTGTCAACCTTAGTTTTGTTTTGTTCTTATTCTTAGAAATAAAAATACTTATATAATTTTAAGTTTGTATCATTCGACTAAAAGCCTGATACATTTTATCTAAACTTATCTTATATGTATTTCGATAAAATTTGCGTGAACTAAGGATAATGAATATTGATTTTTAACATTTTCTTTTTGTTAATCGAGCTAATCTCTTAAAAAATGAATATGGGTTTCTGCTTTGCGGATGCTCTAAGGAGCTTCAGTTTCGTTCGATTTGTCTAGATTTTGGTTTGCTTCAACTCGTTTTGGATAAAAAAAAAACACTAAACAAATAGGAACTACAAAATGATCTTAACTAATATAATATTCTCTATAACGAATTTTCATATTTCTTGGTATCGTTTGGCTGCTCTAAATTTGATTTGATTTGGTTTGCTTATTCATATTTCTTGGGTTTCTTATTCATTTTTTTAATACTAAAATTGGATAAAAAATTTAGTTAAGAGATCCATTAATTTTGTATGATCCTCTATATGATTTCCTAAAAAAGAAATATATCATTTTATGTTTTAACTTAGAAAAAAAAATATTTAATTAAAACATACTTAATACAAAACATTAAAACAATATAAAACATAAAGTTTGCCATAATTAATCAGTTGTTATCTTGATCATGTCTAAATTTTTCCCAGATATGGTTAACCATATCAACCTTCAACTATTGATGCTGTTGTCTATTATGAATTCTAGTTCGAACACCTATCATATTGGCAATATTTGTAGATATATTTGTTGAAAACGTGAGATCAACATTAGAACTTTCACTTCCTTCGCCGTGTTAGAATTCTTTAATATTGAAATATGTGTATCCATCTTTTTCGTCTTCTACAATCATATTGTGGAGTATGATACAAACTCGCATAATTTTCCCTCTTTTGGCTTTATCCAAAAAAAAAACTAGATTTTTAACAATGGTAAAACGAGTTTACAAAACTCCAAAAGCACGCTCGACATCTTTTCGGGCAGCTTCTTGATGTTCAGCAAATAAACATGATTTTGGACCTTGTGGAAATGGAATAGATTGAACAAAAGATGCCTATTTTAGATAAATACCATCTGTAAGATAATATGCCAAATTATACTCCCTTCCGTTGATAAAGACATTCACTTGAGGAGCTCAACCTTGTATGATATCATCAAAAACGGATGAGCGATCAAGGACATTTATATCATTTAAAGTACCTAGAGGTCCAAAAAACACGTGTCATATCCACAAATCATATGATGCCATAGCCTCTAAAACGATTGTTGGTTTCCTGAACCACGTGAATATTTCCTTTCCAAGCGGTTGGGCAAATTTTCCATTCCCAATGCATACAGTTTATGCTTCCTATCATTCCAGGAAATCCGCGATACTCTCTAAAATGAAATAAGCGATGAAGATCCTCCGGTGTGGGTATTCTAAGGTACTCTTCGCCAAAAAAAAATTATTATTCCTTCGACACAATGTTCCAAACAAGAATGAGCCGTAGATTCATCGAGCCGGAGGTATTCGTCAACCGCATCAGCAGCAAAGCCATAGGCCAAAAGACGAATGGCTGCTGTACACTTTTGAAGTGCATAGAGACCAAGCCTTCCAACAGCATCTTTCTTCTGTCGGAAGAATCAAACTTCATTGGAAAGTTTTTCAACAATACGCAAGAACAATGGCTTGTTCATCTGAAAACGTCATTGGAATAAGTGTGGAGGATTGATAACACCGTATTTTGACCACTTTTATGGATCGTTTTGAAATACTTTTTCTATGTTTTTTATTGCTTTCAAGTTTTTTATTATGTTTTCCTAGTATATCTTCTCACTGTCTGATCCAGCTCAAATTTGGAGACCTCAAAGATGGAACTATCAGCTTTCCAGCACACTTTACAGAATGGCAATCCAACAGTTCAATCAAAAGTTACGCGAAGAGCAAAATGTCCCGTAAACCAGCCGGCAAGCACTTCCACCTGCGGCCAACAGCCTGTTCACCACGGGAGAGGCTATACGACCGCGGCCAAGCATCCATTCACCGCGACAACGTCCTATCCGACCGCGGACAGCCATCTCCGATTTAGAAGGCCCATTTCTGAAGCCCAAGTCATTTTCTCCGACTAAATTCTGGAACCCTAGAGACCATGGAGCATTGGAAACTATAAATACATATCATTTAGGTCGTTTTTAGAGAGAGACGAAATACTTTAGAAAATATACAACTTTAAGCTTTTAGGTTTAGGGAGAGAGATCTGTCTCTTGAACCCTTTTTGTTTCTCTGTTATTTTTTATTTCTGTTATACTTTTTAACACTATGTCTTTGCTTTCGTTCATCATGTCTGAGTAGTTTTATTTTTGGGTTTAATGGATTTTCGACGGGGGCTATATATGTTCGATGAGGATTCCATTAGTTATTGAAGTCGAATCCTAGAACTTTATCTTATAAACTTATTTATAATGCATGGGAGTAACATCATAAACAACAATTTGATCCCGGTTTTGAGTGTTACGAAAGTTTTCATTCAAGGCCAGATCTAGTTTGGGAAGAGCAGATCGACCATAGGAGTGAAAACCTACCTATCGGACAGCTTTGAATATTAATGATTCTTAAGCATATCGCATCTTTTCTTTTCCAGGGCCAGAGTAGAAACCTATTGGTCAGGGTTGAGAGAGATAGTTGGTTATGATCACGACAGTGGCGTATTCATACGTTCGTGACTCTAGTTTTAAAAGTTTTAGCTAGGATCTTATTAAATTTACTCTGTAGAAATGTTTTGAATCGTTCATCACCCGGACAGAATTTCCCTGAAAATCCAGCGCTCTTTTCTATAGATTTACATTGATTTTCATCGAATTTCGTTCAAATTTTTTAGTCCAGTATTTCATTCACCTGGTCGATTTTCATACAAGCAATTAGATCTAGTCGTTTTCTCGTTTTTAGTCGATTTCTTTAAGTTTAATTATTAGGTCATTTTAATTCTCGTATTTTTCCATTAAGATTAGTTTTTACGTTTTAAAGACACCACCAAAACTCTACAAAAATCGTCTGGTTCTAGACTTCCTTACTTCATATTTCTTTCGAAGGCTTTTGCAGAAAAGATCCTCCTTTCTTGTGGATTCGATCCCTAAGTACTACAATCGATCAGCGTCCACTTGCGGCTATTGATTTCATTTAGGATAAAACTTGACAACCCTCACGACAACTTACATTAAGTAATGTAGCCTCATCACTGAAATAGTCATTCCATAGACGTATGTGGCCTTCTTCCCGAGCTCTGTCAATGTAAGCTTTTTTTTTTTTTTGTCTGGGTTGGCTCCTGATGCTCACCATAATCATTGAACAGATTATCAAAAGTTTGATAAAAAAGTTGATCAAACTGTTGATCAAAATTCTCATCCATTGATCCATAAATAGTATTGTTAGAAGAAGAAGCCATAGTATTGAAGTATTGATAGAATAAAGTTATAAACGATGAGTGAACAAAGTTTAAACCGTGGAAAGAACAATGTACAATGATAGAAACACACAAACGATGGTTGTCCAAACCAAATAAATAGAAGAAGAGTCATGAAACGCTGTGGTGCATAAGCCATGGTAAAAAAGTTGTGGTGCCAACGAATACTAACTACCAAACAAAAACTAAAAGTCCACTCAAATAACCCGAGGGCCCAAGTCATCTAGTTGTCTTGTGGATTGTTCTGCCTTTACTCGTGACTCCTGCTGGCTCCACTTGTGTCTCCTTCTGCCGACTAATCTTCTGAGCAAACATGTGACTCCACCTGGGACTGCAAGAACAAAAAGAGAACACAATTAAATAAGAAGCCAAACATAATGAAAAACAAACCAATACACAATGTCACATGAAGCCAAACACATTCAAATACCATTACCAAATAATAAGAGTTCAGAGTTGATATAATACAAAATGGAAACAGACGCATAACATAACCGAACATTACAAATGCTAACATGAAACAGATGCTAAACTATAAACAACATAAAGACAAAGAAGAACCTACAACACCAAACTCGAAACTTAATCAGACAACATGTCTTGTACACGCTTTTTCTTCAAAGCTTCTTTGTAGTCAGAAAGGGTTCCTTTTTGGCAATGAGACCCTCAACAAGAACCATCTTCGACAGCCTTTCCTTCATTGCCAAGTTTTTTTCTTTTATGGCCCACATACTCTAAAACCAGAGAGAACCTTCCCTTCAGCCATATTCTTTTTGCCCTTCCCTTTGCTGCCTTTACACCAAGAGGCCTATTACTTGACTGATCATTGTCGCCACTCTTGACATCCTCTGCTTGCGAACATGGTGATTAAGAACCATCCTCAGCCCTTCTATTTCTTAATGGTGGATCTGTTTTTGTGGTAGAAAGCTCATACCACTTCTGGTCATTTCGTAACTTTTTCCATGGATGTTCCAGCGTAAACTTCTTCTTCTGATTATTGAAGAAGATTTGGTGAGCTATTTTGAGAACATCATTCTTATTATGGCCACTGGTCTTCTCCTTTGTAGAAGCTTCATAAGCTCCACATAATTTGCAAACCAGGTCGTTGATTTTGTGCCATCTTTGCTTACACTGTACGCTCCAATCTGCTTCCAGAAGGCTCTGGATTTCTGCTCGTTTCCAACCACAGGAACTGCTGAGTAAAACATCCTCGCCGGGAGACCAAGTCTTTATGTTGCTTGAGGATTCGCTTCTCTTTCGTTCTCCTCACTCTGCAGTCGTACCTCCACCGCGGCTTGAGCCATGTCTACATTGAGTACTGAAGACAGGGAGTTGTGACTCAGAAAAAAAAACGAATCATTCAGGGATGTTTCCTGTTGACTGTTTAAAAGGTCAACAAATT